TTTAAAATAAAATGACAGTTTGCATTCCTTGGGAGACTTTTAATTTCATAAAATAAATACAATATTATGATGACATAAGGCTTGGTACTGATCATGTCATTTGCTCTAGAGTGACTTTTCAAACACAATCTTGAAAAAGTAATAAGCACTTTGAAAAATGCAGATTTTATTATTCCTGTGTCTGGATTGTTTTGTTCAACCATATACTTGTAGCATTCAACTTTTATAAATGTCACATGGTATGTGAGTCTGTTTATATGAAATGCCAAGAAACAGCAAAGTCATAGACAAAGTGGGTAGTGTTTGCTGGAGACTGAGGGGAGAAGAGGAATAACCATCAATTTGGTTTGGTGCTGCCTTTTGGGGTGATGAAAGCTTTCTATGCATTGCAAGCAATGGAATATACAAACTGTGACTATTCCTTAATCTTTGTTTCATACTCTCTGAACAGATGAATTTTTTGTTTTCTGAATTATACTCAATAAAACTGCTTTTATTAAAAATAAAAACCTGGCTTATTTTTAAAACCCCATTCAATATTTTAATAATTTGCAAACATTAGACAACTTTTTTTTTGCTTACCTTTATTTTATTTCCTGTGCATATACACATTGCTTTGTTTCGATAACTGTTTAGTCATCTTTTCAGTGTTTATTATTCTAACCAATGATAAGCTTTATCTGTTCATGAGTTGTGTCATTTTCATTTTATTTTCTAATACATTATATATTTTTATAGTCATACTAATATAGGTATTTCTCAGTCATGATGCTTTTATAAATTGTATTCTTGTCTTTACATTTCTTTTAGTAATTTATGCTGTTGTACACAGAAATTCAAGTGAAGTGTGAAAATCCAGGTTACATCCTTTGATTTATGAGCTTTATACATTATATGCATTATTTTTGTATTTTTGAAAGGATAGGGCATTTAATATAAACTTCTATAAATAATCATAGATTTATTTCTTCTTTATAAATGCAGTTGCTTTGTTTCTGACATCCAATACTTGGGCTTTATTCTAATATTGAAGAGAAGGTACACATAGCAGGTGCTCTATAGAATTTTCACAATATAGGGGATACAAGTTTGATATTTATTTCACTACAGT